ATGTATCTATGTGAATCTCTCTCTCCCAAATATATATATATATATATATATATATATATATATATATATATATATATGTCAGGGGTGTTTCCTCTGAAGATGCAAGGGAGGCAGTGCCTCCTTTAACCTAATATTTCAATTTAAATAAAGTTTAATTAATCTGCAATACTGAAATAAAATAATGAAATTGATTAATACAGGTTTAAATGTTAATTACTATAATTATTTAAATTTTTATTATTATGTATTTTTTTATAACTTATTATATTATAAATAATTTATTTTCTGGATAGTGAGGACAGAAAACCAGGGGAAATGGCATCAGTAAGTGATGCCAGACATAGTCGTGAATAAACCGCAACGCTGACAATTTACTGAAACTCTTTGTTTATATGGGATGTGTTTTTGCTCTCATCTCAAAGGAATATCAAAATAATGAGTACAACAATATTCATTATATATATATATACACAGAGAGAAAGAGAGAGAATAAGACAAAATTAATTCAGACAAAAATCCCATAGCTGCGAATAAACCACAACTCTGACAATTTACTTTTAATTTAAGCACTCTGAGCAATTCGTCAGGTTGCGTCATACTCATCAAGAGTAATTCACTGAGCAGTTTCCTCTATTAATGGACTCATAACAGAGCACCTGAGTGTGTGCTTTTCACTACCTGGAATTGAGAGCATGATGATTCCTGACTAGCCTCATTGTCACTCTCTGCATTGGGAATGGAGACCTGGAAAAGATAATTGTGGACATGGTGATAAAGCGAGTGTGCTTGTGTGCTGCAAATCTAGCATACACAAACAGTGCCACCCTGTGGTCACTAATAGAGCAAGACCTTAACACACAGGTCTTCAACCCTGCTCCTGGGCACCCACGGTCCTGCAAAGATTATTTTCAACCTGCTTTGGCACACCTGCCGGTGTTTTCAAGCAATCTTGAGGCGCTTGATGAGCAGCTTCAGATGTGTTTGATTAGGGTTGTAGCTAAACTCTGCAGGACAGTGGGTCCCCAGGAAAAGGCCTGAAGTCCTCTGCCTTAGAGTACTGTGATTATTTCAAGGTTTTCTTTACCTTGAGCTGAAGGTCTGCACCGACTACTCTCTGCTCCAGATCTTCCACCCACTGGAGAACACTGATGTCTAACTGCAGGACTCTCTCCTGCTCACTCCACGCCTGTTTAGACGCCTCCAGCAGGGCATCACCATCCTCCACTGTCATCTGGAAGATGGGATCTGGGAGGAAACAATGGAAAAGAATGCATTAAACATGCCGCCATCAACCAAAGTCACTCTGTATATGCTGCTGCTCCTCACCGGTGACGAGCCGTGTGCAGACCTCAGACAGATACTCCCTGTGTTTGGTGAGGTGTTTGTGGAGCACTTTCTCACGAATGCCTCGTGGATGGAGGGCGCTCACAATGGCTGTCAGCTCCTCCGGTTCTCTGATCCACCACCAGCCCTTCACCATTTCTGTAAGACAGAAAGACAGTAAGCCAATGAATGCTACTCTGCTGGAAACCAAGAGTTTTAGTATGTCATTCAAGATACACAAATAACATTTTTCTTGGTGAGTAAACAATATTTCACTATGTAAAAGTAATGAATATTTTATAATAAATATTTTTCACATTTCTCTGCATTGTACCAATAGAGTATATTATTAAATTATAAAATTAATATAATTATTAGCTTCCCTCACAAACTCCCAAAGGTTCACAAAATCAGTTTGGGAAACTCTGGGCTGGATAAAGTTGCCTTGATGACATACAGTATTTCAACTAAACATAATAAACATCCATCCAAGGACAATTCCCAGGCTCAGTATTTCAGAGAAAACTAAATGGTCAAGTTGGCAAGGCTTAGAAAAACTTTTAAAGTAATCTATGAATGCAAGATTGCCAAAAACACATTTCATCCTTATTGTCAAGTCCAGCATGACTCCTGTAACATCACGGCACTCACCTAATGGAATAGGCTTCACCACCAGCTGAGTGAAGTACTTCAGTTCCACCTCTTGGAAGAGATTGGAGGGAGGTCTGCCACGCCTCTTCGCCGCACTGGATCGAGAGAGAGCCCGGGACGTCCCGCTGCTTCTCCTGCGCCTCCTACCGGCCCTGGGAGCTGGAGTGGAGCACACCTGAGGAAGAGGAAGAGGAGGAGTCTCCGTCTGCATCTGTGGTTGAGGAAAAAGAGGGAAGCAATCAGAAGGAGAAAGGTTCAGCATTCAGAATATTTATCAACTTTCTGACATTATTCAAGGGTGAACCTGCGTTGTTGGAGGCTGCGGAGGAGGAGCGAGCGGGTCACTATCGAGGGGTGCAGGAGTGTCTTCAGTGGGGGATGAAGCAGACGCAGGTGTGTTCTTGCACGGCTGGGAGATCGACGTCTCGTCGCACGGCTCCTTAGGCAACAGATTGAACCACTGGCCTCGTTTCTCTGCTTGCTCCCTCATGCTGTCCTCCGGCTGGCTGTTATCCTCGCCCTGACCGGCTCCAGATGCTGTGATCGGCGCGCTGCTGTCGGCCTCTGCGTGCTGCGGCTGCTCGAGAGGCGTCTGGAAAGCGGGCTGAGCAGGATCCTGCACAGGGGAGTTGAGGGCCGAAACCTCAGCTGCTGATCTGCTGCTACGGCGGCGGCGGCGGTTCTTGGCGGTTCGCAGGTGGAGCTCCACTTCGGGTTTGATCTTGCGCGGGCGTCCCCGGCCTCGAGGTCTGCTCATCAGAGAGGCCTCGCCGGGTAGAGGATCCGCCTCTGTGGGGGTAAGCTGGGACGCTCGAGGAGAAGAGGGGAGATGTGCGCCGAAAGCCGGAGAAGGGGGAGGCTCAGCTTTAACCTCTGTCTTCACTGGGGTTATGACCTTCACATAAGTCACAGGTTCATCACTGATCGTCACTTCACCTGAGGCTGAACACAAGGAATAAATAACATTTTAATTTTACAGTTGTAACGTAAAAATTCCTTTATTTTATATAAATTATTTAATATAACATTATATACAAAATTAAATAAAAACAAAATATTACTGTAATATTTAGTATTTTAGTTAATTTTATATTTTATTTAGTTCCACTACTAATAATAATAAATTATTATTATTATTATTAGATCACAACATTTTTTGCCAAACTGTGCAGCCCTACAAACAAGCACAGCAAACCTGAATATTTTTAATTGCATTAAATATTAATGTGGTTAACAAGAATTAAAAGAAATTAATCATATATACAGTAATCAACATTTGAAGTGGATCAAAACCTTTCATCAAAGTTGTTCTAAAACGAAAACAATCCCCGTTCTGGTCTTAGGACAACTTTGATGAAAGGTTTTGATCCACTTCAAATGTTGACTACTGTATATGCATGTGTGTGTGTGTATATATACATATATATATACACACACACACACACACATATATATATAAATATATACACACACACACACACACATATATATA